CACACACACACACACACACACACACACACACACACACACACACACACCCTCTAAGGATCCTGGGATTTGGAGGAGTCAAGCCTGGGGTTACAGGGAGAGAGAAGGAGGGAGAGAGAGGGAGGGAAAGAAGAAATGATAAAAAGGAAGCAAGGGGGGAAGGAAGGAAGGAAAACATACACGTCTGGGAAAAAAGGCATTAGGACTACAGATTTTGCCAGATATTTAGATCCTCAAAGCTGATGGAGGCCACCTCTCTGGGCCTCCAGGAGGTCAGGGTGAGGTGGGATTTGTACTCTAGTTACAGACATGTCAGGTTATAGCAAATGAAGTAATAGTCTCCATTTCCTTCCCCTTCTTTTAGGTATAGAAATCTTGAGTATGAGGGGAAATTAGGGAAGTACATCCGCAATTATCCCCACGGGTACCTACGAGCCCCCAAAGGTTTCTCCTTGCTCTGTTTAAGGGCAACATCATTTTTTGTGTGAGTCAGTAACACCTTAGCCTCCCTTTACTGGCTACTGTGGCAGAGACCCTTGTGGGGGTAATGAAAGACGCTCTGAAAGGAGGAGATTCAACAGGATGTAAAGAAATTGTCTTAGTTTGGGTCTCCCAAGAGCGGGGCCTGAGATGAGACTGGGTGCAGGGAGTTTATCTGGAGGTGGTCCTGGCAAAGAGCAGTGAGGGCGCCTGTGCAAACCCGGCAGGATTTCCCCACCCGAAGGGCCTGAAGTGGGGTGTTTCTACACGCGTCCATCCGCTGCAGAGCAGGTGAAGCCAGCGGGTGGAGGGGCGCAGGTGTGGACGCCGTGGATGTGGACTGAGCTGCCGCAGCTATGCGCAGCATCTCCGCGGTGATACCTGGGCTTGGCTCGAGTCGCCGACAACGTCTTAACTCCCTGATTCCCTCCTGAGATGTGGGAGACGTAAGTAGGCTTCGTATTGATATGGTTCCCAAATGACAGCAATCAGGACCTTGAAAACCTGTAAGCATCAAGTTAGAAGAGGGACTGTCCCCCAGTATGCCCTTTGGGTTTGATTGACAGATGCTGATTGGAGCCAGGACTGGCCTCCACGTCTGGACCCCGGGATCCCGGCTCCTCCCACCAGCCTTGCCTGGCAGGTCTCTGCGTTCTCAAGTTGTACCCTCTGATCATCATATCAAATTACGTTTTTCCTTAAGAGAGAAAATAGTGAAGTTGTTAAACATTCGGGTTTGGTGCCAGACTGCCAGCTTCAAATCCTACCCCTGCTGCCCACCAGCCATGTGAGCTGGCAACTCCAGCTGTTTGGGTTTCAGCATCCGTAGAACAGGGGTAATAATACAAGAGAACCTACCTCCCGTGGTCGTTGGGATTCAGTGAACACAGCGGGTATAGAGCACAACTGTTCCCAGCACTTATAAAAAAAAAGCCAGCTAAGTAGTAATTGTGGATGTTATGATTCCTTATGTTTTAGGCAGACTTACTCTTGTCTCCGCAATTCCCCAGTGTTCCTTCTTCTTAGTATTTAACTTACTGTGTTGGGATTGTTTGGCCGCCTTTCTCCCTGCTAGTCTGTGGGCCCCTGGAGAGAAGACTGTCCTCTTTCTTTTAATTTTCAGAAACCAACACAGTACCTAGCACATAGTAGGTCATTTAAAATCTTGTTTGATTGAGTGATTCAATGATTTCATTATGCTCAGAATAAAGCCCCCATTTTTTTTTAACATGGCTTTCAGATTCCTTTTATTTTTTAATTTTCAGATGCTAACACAGGACCTAGCACATAGTAGTTCCTCTAAAATATTGTTTGAAAGAATGATTCAACAATTGCATAATACTCACAGAATAAAGCCCAAATTTCTTAATATGGCATTCAGATTCCTCCAGAACATGACTACGATGTCACCTTTTAATCCCCTCTAAACCTCCGTGTGTCATGTTCCATCCACGGATGCGTCATGAGCTACTTGCTGTCATAACGTGTCCTGTTCCTACTCTCACATCCAATGTCCGCCTCCCCTTGCTTTGCTGGGTGGCTTTCTTTACTTCCTAAGGCCTTTCTTGAATGTCACCACTTGTGAGAGTTCTTCCAGGCTCCTTCAACTCTACAGGAAGAATATATTGCTTTTTATTTAAATGTGTTCTCCAGGTTCTTTGTTCTTCCGTGTAGCGCTTGTGAAAATAAACTGTGGTTGGTCACATGCGTGTCTCCCTCCTTTAGTTTGCTAGCTCCTCCTGGAATAAGAGAATTGAGGCTGCCAGATATTCAATAAATATTTGTTAAAGGTTAATGCCTATGACTTTGCTGCTTTGGGTGATGTTTACATGTCTGTCTGCCACATCTACTCAGGGTTCAGGAGGTGATTTCTCCAGGCCACGCTAATCAAAGGCATGCGACTAGGTGGTCTGCGCCTGGTGGAGTCACAGATCATTAAACCTCATCCCTGGTGTTCAGTGAACTGTTGAATAAGCCAGGTGTTCCTTTCTTTGTCCTTCTCTGTACCGACTCCTCAAGCTGGAGCCTGTGGATCTGGAAGATACTTACCCAGGCGGGGGTGGGAGTGGGGCTGGAAACCAACATGTTTAACATCCTATTTGAAGTTTCCCTTGGCTTATTTTTATTGATTGATTTATTTGTTTGTGGGTGGGGAAAAGTAACTTTATTTTTGCTAATGTCAAACTAAAATCAATCATTTTATTCACATTGGAATGAGGATGACAAACCACTGTAATATTAACAGTCCCTGAGATGTTGGCAAAATAAGTCCCAGGTATTTTCATATGATATTTCACATGTAGCAGATATCATTTATGCTAGCATTACTTCAGAATTACAGGGTGTAGTGATTAGTTGGTCCAATTTTTAAAATTTTTTAATACAATTTTAAAGGTTACCTTCCATTTACAGTCATTACAAAATATTGGCTATGGGACTTCCCTGGTGGCGCAGTGGTTAAGAATCCGCCTGCCAATGCAGGGGACACGGATTCGAGCCCTGGCCCAGGAAAATCCCACATGCTGCAGAGCAACTGAGCCTGTGCGCCACAACTACTGAGCCTGCAGTCTAGAGCCCGTGAGCCACAAGAACTGAGCCCGCACACCTAGAGCCCGTGCTCCGCAGCAAGAGAAGCCACCACAGTGAGAAGCCCGCGCACCACAGTAAAGAGTAGCCCCTGCTCGCTGCAACTAGAGAAAGCCCACACGCAGCAACGAAGACCCAATGCAGCCAAAAATAAATAAACAAATAAATTATTGGCTATATTCCCTGTGTTGTACAATACATCCTCGAGCTTATCTTATACCCAGTAGTCTGTGCCTCCCCTCCCCCACCCCTAAATTGCCCCTCTCCCCACCTCCCCACTGGTAACCACTAGTTTGTTCTCCATATTTGTGAGTCTGCTTCTTCTTTGTTATATTCACTAGTTTGTCGTACAATTTATTTTTAAATGTTGGAGTTTTTCCTCATTCTTTGCAGAGAAGAGGGGATTTTGATATTTGTTAAGAAACTATAGATTCTTGTAGGTAATTTTTGTTTGTCTGTTTCCTGGATGGATCCTAACACTGTCTTGCAAAAATAAGCAGTTTAGTAGTCTCAGATGGATATTAATCTGAGAGTCTTTGTGTCCATACAGGCACTGACATTTAGAGCCAGGTTTGGGGACAGAGAAAGAAGAGGAATGATGAATAAATGTCCCCTAAAGAAGGGCAGTGGAACACCCAGTGTGACAACTGACCTGTGTTAGCTGCCTATTCTCTTCAGTTGTCTCGGGTCAGAGACCAAAACACCGGCCACGTCCCAACAACTCTGTTCCCAAGCCTCTGTCTCTCTTGACTTTTATGTGTCCCCCTCCTCCCTCAAAGCCTAAATGCTACATCAAAGGTTTCATGCTTAGTCACATGAAACCAAAGGAGAAACAGGTAATCCTCTTCCACATTCTCTGAGGTCTAATTATTGTCAGGCAACTCTTAGATCTAATCATTAAAACTGTGCATTTACACGTGTACACACAGACACACGTGGAAGAAAGTGCTTCAGTAAGATACGAATGTAAGCATATACTTTTTTTTTTTTTTTTTTTGGTTGTTTAGTCTTTATTTCATAACCATAAACTTAACTTTGCAATTCAGCTAAACTTGGAGGGGAATAAGGAAAATATGGAACCCAAAGAAGTGCAATGAGAGCACGAAGATTATAGTATATTTGGAGCAGATGGGGATGAAGGGGTGCTCTCCTGAGCTACAGAAGGAATGGTCTGGTGGTTAAGATAAAACACAAGTCAAATTTATTATTAGATTTGTCCACAGTCAGCAATGGTGATCTTCTTGCTGGTCTTGCCATTCCTGGAACCAAAGCGCTCCATGGCTTCCACAATATTCATGCCCTCTTTCACCTTGCCAAAGACCACATGCTTGCCATCCAACCACTCAGTCTTGGCAGTGCAGATGAAAAACTGGGAACCGTTTGTGTTGGGGCCAGCATTTGCCATGGACAAGATGCCAGGACCCGTATGCTTCAGGAGGAAATTCTCATCATCAAATTTCTCCCCATAAATGGACTTGCCACCAGTGCCATTATGGCGTGTGAAGTCACCACCCTGGCACATAAATCCCGGAATTATTCTGTGAAAGCAGGAACCTTTATAACCAAAGCCTTTCTCCCCAGTGCTCAGAGCACGGAAGTTTTCTGCTGTCTTTGGAACTTTGTCTGCAAACAGCTCGAAGGAGACGCGGCCCAAGGGCTCGCCGTCGACGGCGATGTCAAAGAACACGGTAGGGTTGACCATGGTTGGGCTGCGCGGGAAGTTCCGATGTGGCGGCGTCTGCAAAGCATAAGCATATACTTTTGTACCTGGTATTTCCAAACTGTTTTCTTAAGTGTTAGAGCTTTGTACAAAGAAATATAGTGTGGATTTAAACATTACTTTGCATTGATACATATGTTAAATCGAGTTGCCAAGTTTTAACTTCAAGTATAAAAATGAGGAACATACTATAGTTTAAAACTAGTATTCACAACATGAAATAGATGGACGCAGTATCTGTTTTTATGACAACTTCAACTGTGTAGCAAGATCAGGATACATGTAGTTCAGATAGTCTGCCAATGGTACCATTATGATTGTAACAGTCCTGAAGTAACAATAGGTTATATTTCCAGAGTGTTGGCTGTCTAGAGAGATAGCAAATGTGCAGCCTCATTTAAATCCTACCTTATCACCACCAGGGAAATATCACTATTCCCACGTTATAGATAAGGAATGGAGGTTTAGAGAACTTGAAAGCAATTTGCCCAAGGTTACAAACTGGCAAATAAATCTGAACTCAGGTGTGTCTGGCTCCAAAACTCATGTAGGCACAGCTATGTTACCATACTATCTTCTCCAATAATAATTGTTCATATTTAGCACCTACCTTCTCACTTCCAGATCCTGTGAACAAAGCTAATCCAGTGTTTAAATAGAGACGGCTCAAAGGACATTCAGGGGAGTATGGACTTCATGAGTTAAATGTACTTTATCTTTTACATGCACCCCTACGTTCATAGCAGCACTATTTACAATACCCAAGACATGGAAACAACCTAAATGTCCATCAACAAATGAATGGATAAAGATGTGGTACATATATACAAGGGAATACAACTCAGCCATAAAAAAGAGAAATAATGCCATTTGCAGCAACATGGATGAACCTAGAGATTATCATACTAAGTGAAGTAAGTCAGAAAGAGAAAGACAAATACCATATGGTATCACCTACATGTGGAATCTAAAATATGACACAAATGAACCTATCTGTGAAACAGAAATAGACTCACAGACATAGAGAACAGACTTGTGGTTGCCAAGGAAGAGGATGGTCAGGGGAGGGACGGATGGGTCTTTAGGACTAGCAGATGCAAACTATTATATATAGAATGGATAAACAACAAGGTCTTATTGTATAGCACACAGAACTATATTCAATATCCTGTAATAAACTATAATGGAAAAGAAAAACATTTTATGTACTTTATCTTTGATACTATGTCTTAAAGAAAAAAATCTAAAGAGATAAACTTAAATGCATAAGTTCAAAATATATTTATTACCATGACTTACACTAAACCTTCTTGCTCCTGTGTGGACTCTTACCACAGTCTCCTCACTGATTTCTGTGTCTCAGTCACTTCATCTCTGATCTGTTTTATATTCTGCCTCCAGGTAAATCTTCACAATGCATGATGCTCTGCTCTTCAAAAACCTATGGTTTCAAATTCAAAGTTCAGCTTTCTTATCCCTCTGAATAACTAGACTATGTTGTTTATATTACTCATGTGATACTTATCTCATACCCTCTTGTGATTCAGCAATATGTACACAGTTTATATTTCTTTACAGAATGTAAGCATTTTAAGGGTTGAGCCCTGAAGTAGGTAGCCAAAGTAAACAGTAAATAATTATCAGATTTGGAATTTTCCAGTAGGCAGCAGAAAATGCATTATTTTGGTTCTGTCGCTGGCTTTTCAAATGAGCTCAGCTCAGGCATGCTGTTCATTCCTGAGCAACTCAAAAACCTGCCACCATCTCATCTTAGTTATTTACCCAGATCTCTGCCCGCTTCCTTTTTCTCAACCCCATATTCCTTGGTCTTTTCTTCCACAAACCTTTAGCTCTGTCCTCTAGCCACTAAATCTTCCTCTGGCCTTGCTGGATCGGAGGGTGCATTTGAGCTCCAGATATGATCCTCCAACTCTGATTCTTGGTATCCTGTCTTGAACCAGTCATTGTCAACAGTCTTGTAACTTGTGCCAATAATTGTACATATTCCTTCCTTCACAATCTGTCCTGTGGAGCTAACACCTGAGCCAGCCTCCCTGAATTCCTGCAGGGGAACATGGATCAAACAATATTGTCTGAAATACTTATTAGCCACTAGGTACTGGGTGGGTTAACAGATGAGAAATCACAGGGCTTCTCAGACAACAAAGTGAGGGTTGATTAGAATGCCTTCGAAAGCCATGCCTCCTTGAACTGAAGGGGATGCAAGAAAAATTGGACGTGAAGCGTAATAGAAAGAGCCTTAGCTTCAGAGTCCAGATGTAGAGATTCCATTTCTTAGGACTGTCAGGTGCAGGTAATAGTATCTGATGTGTCCCTTGAGGGCTGTGGAAAGAAAGGGTCAAATGAGATGATGAGTATGAAAGTTCTTTGCCAACTGTAAGTGTTATAAGATAGAACTAAAAGACAGAGGCCCTTCTCTGTGACAGTTTCCCATGTGGAAAATGAGGATGTTGGACCAGAGCATCCTCGACCTTCCAGGGCTACAAGACACAAGCTTACGTCTCTCCAAGGCTGAGACACCTTCCAGTCCTGTGTCTTCACACTGGGACAGTTGGGAATCTTCTCTTCTGTGGATCCACAGATGCAGGAACCAGAGTACAAAGTCACATGGCCAGAGGTGAAGGATACCCATTCCCTCCTCTGCTCCTGTGACAGTTGCCTGGACCCCTGGAAGAGCTGGTGTCCGGCAGCTCCTGGAGGGACTGTGCCCCCCAACCAAAAGTGTGGGGAAGATAGGTCCTCATTGGGGTGGTCTAGAGTTGAGAAGAAGCCTGCCCATAAAATGTTTACCCTTCTTATCCCCAGTGGGACAAAGGGGCTTCAAACAGCATCTTGTCTGTGCCCCACACAACAGAGCAGTAGTTGTGTTTCCTTGAGAAGCTCTGGACAGCTCGGTCATGTACCACTTTACCTCTGCTTTCCCTCCTTCCCTGCCTCACTTTCTTCTTTCCCTCTTACTTGCTGCCCCAAGATTACACTCCTACAGGTAGAACACTGGCACAAGACCTTTGCCTTAGGTTCTGAGTTTTAGGAACTTGGGTTAAACAGATTCCCAATGTAGAGATTTTGACCAGGCCATATCTCATTTCGGGCCGTGACATGGCCTAGTTTCTGATCGCTTTGCTGCCTGTTAAAAAGATTATTACCAAGAGGTATGATCATGCACACATTTTCCTTAGAAAAAGTACTTGGTGGCAAAATATGAAGTCACACCTAATAATTTAACCAATAATCACTCAGTTAAAAAAAGCTACAGCATTTTGCTTTGAAATGATAGGGCTCAAATTAAATTGTCAAATCGCATGTGTTTGGCATGCTCTTTGGAGAAGTAATTTAATTTAGAAAAAGGACACTGGAGGATCATGTTACGTAGTTTCTAAAAGATCCCCACTCCAGTGTTTTACAATTTAGAACATGCAACCTTTTTGATACTCACATTTTGTTTCTTAGCATTTTTGAAGGAGTCACTATGATTTTAGGAAAGAAAAGAGAACAGAAGCTGGGGCAACGTCAAGAGCATCCAGGGCGTTAGGAGCCTGGGAGCCACGTGGAACCACGTGATTACGTGGTTCCACA